GCCCGCCACAACGCCCGGCCATTTTTTGGTTGCAGCCATCATTGTTGTTTGGCGGGCCTGGGCTGGGGATTCGAACCTGCCACCTTAGGTGTATGTAGCTGGCGCCTTAGCCGCTTGAGCCACAGGCGCCGAACCGACAATATTTCTTATAGTGTTTACTAAGTTGACTCAAATTTATAAGCAATAAAGATCCAAGAATAATCAAGACAATTTTCAGAAATAATAAGGAAGGGGTCTTTAACACATAAACTTAATATTAAAACAGAAAGATGGGGGGAAAGAGGCTTCAACTTTACCTGAACCCGAACTGTAACATTAAATGAAATAGAAAAATGATTTATGGCAAATTTGGCAAATGTTAACATTTATTATGTTTGTACAGTGGTCACAAAAGATTCTCTGATTTTCTTCAATTTTGAAATATTTCATAGTACAGGATAATTAACTGATGGAAGAAGACTAAAGGAAAGAAAGAAAAAAAATGCCTATGCCTCACTCGGAGGCTTAATCATTCCCAAAGTATTTCCTCAGATTTATGTTAGGTTTTGCATCTCCTAAAAAGAGGAAGGAACGTGTGCTTTGGAGACAAACAGGAAATCTTGATTTATGTCCAGTTTCCCCGCTAATTCTATGTATGGTAGGCAAGTCACAAAACCTAGATCCATCTTCCTTTTCGGGATAGAAGGATAAAATAATGGGTAGATGACTGTCCTGAGGTCACCTCAGGTCAAGGTTATCTTCACCTGTGATGAACGCCATTGATACAACTGACACAGCTGCTCTCTACACATTTTCAAGATCCTAAAAACCAAGAAATTCAAAGCTTCTCAGATTGCTTAGTTCTATGACACGAATGCCTCAAATACCGCATCAGAGTGTTTTCTTGGCTTTTCGGTCAATAATGCTTTGTCCGCGGAATCTCGAATTTTTTTTTCTTTTTGCTATAACTCCTGCAGAATGGAATCTTGTTAAACTTCCTTCAAGTTAATCCAAAACACATTTGGGCTGTAACACTTCCAGTTCCTTAAGCGTATAAGCAGACAGTGCTCTGCTTGTTCTCTGTGTAGTGTGTGGTCTTATGGTGGGGGGAGGAACAAGGAACCTTCAGTTTCAGTCTGGTTTTGCCTTGGCCTTTAGCTTCAAAGTCACGCACTTAAGAAGTGTTAGAACTGTTAGTAATTAAATGCTGATGGAATTCTTTGAGATTAGGAGAAAATTGTCAAGCTTGTCTGAAGGTTAGTTTCTGTTATGACATCATCATCATTGCCTCATTTGGATGTGAGGAGCAGTGAATATTTTTTTTTTTTTTTGAGACAGAATCTTGCTCTGTTACCCAGGCTACAGCACCATGGCCTCAGCCTAGCTCACAGCAACCTCAAACACCTGGGATCAAGCAACCCTCCTACCTCAGCCTCAGAGTAGCTGGGACTACAGGTGCCTGCCACAATACCCAGCTAGTTGTTCTACTTTCAGTAGAGATGGGGTTTTGCTTTGCTCAGATTGGCCTTGAATTTGACCTCAAGTGATCCTCCCACCTCGGCTGGCCTTGAATTTGACCTCAAGTGATCCACCTCAGCCTCCCGGCATGTTCTCAGAGTGTCACCAAGCCTGGCCAACAAACAGTGACTTCTAAAGGAAAAATGGAATATGCTTTAAAAACTTCTTTCATTTGATGAATGATCCTAAATGCTTGATTTCTAAATATTTCTTCCTGCTTCTCTTTCTCCTGCTAGGCAAGGCACCAATGCCCAGACCCGGCTACAAGCCCCAGGAGCCCAATGGCTGCAGCTCCTATTTCCTGGGTCTCAAGGTACCAGAAAGTGTACGTACCACCACCATTACCTTTTGGTTGATTGGTTTTGACTTACAGTAATCTGAGAGTTATCACCGATGGAAGTGATAATTTATGGAATCTAGTTGAACAATATAATTAGATATTTTAAATTGGATATGGGGGAAGGGAGAGAATTTTCAAAAAAGATACCTGAGTTCCTTTTCTCAGAGGCAGCTTTCCCTCCGTCAAGCCCTTGGTAGTAGATCAGAATTTTGAAATTAACACTGAAGGCTCGGTGCCTGTGGCTCAAGCGGCTAAGGTGCCAGCCACATACACCTAAGGTGGTGGGTTCGAATCCCCAGCCCGGGCCCACCAAACAACAATGATGGCTGCAACCAAAAAATGGCCGAGCGTTGTGGCAGGTGCCTGTAGTCCCAGCTACTTGGGAGGCTGAGGCAGGAGACTCGCTTGAGCCCAGGAGTTGGAGGTTGCTGTGAGCTGTGATGCCATGGCACTCTACCCAGGGGGATAGCTTGAGGCTCCGTCTAAAAAAAAAAAAAAAAAGAAAAAGAAATTAACACTGAAAATATCACCTGAGATTAGGGTTTTAAAATATAACTTAATTTGAAATAGATCTGACAAGTTTGGCTGATCTAAATTAATGAGTCATTCCAGTGACGTGCTGGAGCCGGCTGGGACTGGCCAGTAGAAGCTGATTGTCATATGGTCATGACTTTGACCAAGTGGCTGACTTCACACTGATAGCACCAAGCCAGCTAGGTTGGGAGTAGGGACGTCATAGGAATCTGTGGACACACACCCCCCCAGCTGCTTGCTGTTGGCACACCGCTGACCCTTTCTCAAACTGTTGGTCTCCCTTGAAAACAAATATTGAGTTAATTTCTTTTAAATCTTCTTGGAAGCCTTTTTACCTTCTTCACTTTAGACAAGAGGTTTTATTTAAAGTGTATTGTCGATGGAGGGATTTCATAGCTAAGCTATGACTTTGAATTGTGTCTTAATCAGGCTAAACTTCACTTTTCTGCTGATGCGAAGATTTTACTTTACATTTACAGAATGTTTCTAAGCGGCACAGTGTTTATTCTTTTAATTAAAATACCGTTCACTCATGCGGCATTTTTGTGCAAGTTGTAAAAAGATTCCCCTTTCCTCAAGACAAATTTCTTCCATCTGTCAGAAGTGTATCTGAATCTACGAATTTTGTTAGGAAAAGAAACTTGACTGTGATTGCTGGCTATTTTTAATAAGTATGTGAATCTATAACGTCTTGGGAGAAGCTGGTATATAATGTCTTAGAGGTCGTGCTCTTGTGCATTGCACAACCTACCTCGCTGTGTGCCCAGCCTTGTTCACAGCATCAGTGTGTACATGGGCACAGAAGAAAGACAGGCCTTTAAATATCTATCTATATTCGAGAAACCACGTATTTTCAGATAATATATTTTACCCTAAATCAATTTAGTAGCTATGGAAATGATATGCACTCTATTACTTAGGATCACAGTCGTTCAAAAATTTTCATTTAAGTTGAATGGAAGGACAGCTCAGCTAATTCTCAGTTGCCTCTGTTGTGATGGATTTGTAGTTTGGGGGGTAAGATACAGGCAAAATAGTTTACTTTAGACATTCCAGATTATGGCAATTTACCCAGAATTGCAGAACCCAGGCCTTTGCCTATATTATCTCTTGATGTAACAATTTTTTTTTTTTTTGGCTTAAAAGGGCATTTTAAAATGCTAATGTTAAGGTGGGGGCTGTGGCTCACACCTGTAACCCTAGCACTTGAGAGGCTGAGATGGGTGGATTCGAGACCAGCCTGAGCAAGAGTGAGACCCCCATCTCTAAAAAATAGCCGAGCGTTGTGGCAGGTACCTAAATCTCAGCTACTCAGGAGGCTGAGGCAAAAGGATTGCTTGATCCCAAGAGTTTGAGGTTGCTCTGAGCTATGACGCCATGGCACTCTACCCAGGTGATCAAGTGAGACTGTCTCAAAAAAAAAAAAAATGCTAATGTTTATATTTTGCTTTAGGTGGCCATAGAATATAAGTTTAAGTAATAAAACATGGGCACTCAAATGGAAAGGATCTATAATCTCTGGTTAATCAATCCCTATCCATACTCTGAAATCAGATTTTCACAGCTTCTACCCAAGTCCAAGTCTATAGAATCAGCAAAGCTGCAATAGATTCTAAGATGTCCACCTACATCTCCACCCATCCTGTTCCCATCTATTTTACATACCACAGAACTATTACTCTTCTTTAATCACTGGTTTTATAATGTCCCTTCCTTGCTCAAAGTTCAACTAGTTAGTTTGGAAGTCTCCCTGATTAAAGAAGTTATACATTTAGGGCAGTGGGTGGTGCCTGTGGCTCAAAGGAGTAAGG